GTTCCACGCATCATCATGAAACTATCATGCGTGGATCATCCCAACAAATATTTTCAGCTATATAAACTTCCTTTTTATAGATTCGTACTGTAAATCAGTTGCATAAAAGCTTTGAATTAAGCTACAAGCAAAAGTTATAAAAATAGTATCTGTTGAAGAACTTAAAAAGTATTGAAATTTGTATCCCAAATTAGAACCCCATTAAAAATTGAATAATTATACTTCCAATACCCAATGAGCCAAACGATAAGTTACGAGAGTAGGTAGACTAGCTTGTCCCTCTATATCAGTATCTCTTTTTAATCCGATTGCTTCACAATCGTGCTTTTATAAACCTCGAACTCAATCAGCTAGCGAAGATCATAATCGGTTGGCCCTCTTTAAAGGAGTAGTAAATTGGTCTTTATCAAAAACACACTCAAAACGTTTCTCGTGTTCCTCACTGCATGGAAGAAAAGTATTCCACAAATTGTGCCGTTTGTTCCTGCTTCGCTGACCATTGGTGTCGTTCCTGCTTTGCTGCTGCCCTGTTTTCCGAGTCCACCGCCGCTTCACCCATGTTCGCCAACGGTATCAACAGCGAATCTGCAGCATTTATACAACTATTATTCAGCTTGTCAGTCAAATTATGTTCTTTAATTTTGAAAAATTTATCGGTTTTTATACACCATCTGTTAGAGTTGTTGTTTTCTGACCACAACGATATTTTTTCGAACCCATAGACGTTCATCTCGATTTTGAAATCAAGATTTAAAGCAAAATAATAACTTCACTGTTTGACACTAAACTAACAAATTGACAGCCCGCTCCCATACAAAGTCCCACCTAGGGATGCTAAAATGGTATTTTTTTTCCCAATGTAATCGCATTTATTTAAAATAGTTCCAGTGCACCAAAATTGAAGAAATTCTGGATTTCGGTTCCATTTGACATGCAGATTACGAATATGAAATTACCTCAATACCCCTAAAGAACTCAATTGCTATAAACATGCTTCTCAACATAAAGGCTGACTAAAAGTAAATTGGTACGCCCCTCGTACGCCGCTAGCACGCCTCTAGTGTTGGGAATCAAAAATCTTTGACAGTGGTTTGTTTACACTTCTATAGAGAACAACTGGTGCAAGTTTGATCAAAGCAGTCGATCGCGTTCAGAAATAACGTCAAATGGAACACGAAAGAAGAAAAAATATTGTGCACAAACACCTGGAAAATCTGGAGTGGTCCGGTTCCAAGCTAGCTAAGGTGTTGAAGATGCCGAAACCAACAGTTTGTTGAGTGCTCAAAACCAACAACGAAACCCTGTGTGTGGAAAGGAAGCAGCGTTCCTACGAACAAAACTGGAACCAGGGATCGTCAGCTGCGCAGCAAGGTGTTGAAGTGCATCCAAGCCAACCCCGGTCATTCAATCCGAGGTGTGGTCAACGCCAACTTTCAAACGGTGCGGAACATCCTTGCCAGGGAAGGATACAAGTCGTACAAAGCCAGTAAACATCCGAACCGGCACATGAAGCAGAATTCCGTGATCAAAAAGCTTGCAAGGCTCTTGTACGACCGTGTTTTGACGAAACACAAGGGCTGCACTTTGATCGATGACGAAACATACGTCAAACTCGATTTTAAGCAGCTTCCTGGTCCAAAGTTTAACATCGCGACTGGACATGACTTGGCAAGCGATTTGCAGTTGTGGCTTGAAAACGGAAGCATTCGTCATATCCTCGACGATGACATCCCAAGTTTACATCGCAGAATGCCTTAAAAAAGCGTGTATTGCCGTTCATCCAGAAGCATAGGGGCAAAGTCATCTTTTGATCCGATTTGACTAGCTGCCACTACTCCAAGGTGGTTCTGGAGTGGTATGCTGCCAACAAAATCGATTTTGTCCCCAAGCTAATGAATCCTCCGAATTGTGCAGAATTTCGACCAATCGAAAAATACTGGGCAATTTCAAAACAGCGACTTCAACAAAGCGGCGGGGCAGTCAAGGACATCCAGCAAATACGGATAAAATGGAAGAAATACGTTGATTCCGTGTCCGTTTCCACTGTGCGGGCGATGTGGGCTCCATCAAGAGGAAGGTTTGCGATTTCGTTCGAACTGGAGAAATGTAATCATCTAATGCTGCAACTTTACTAAAAGTACTGTACGGCAACCATTAATAGACTTAATTAACATAATGAATCTCGAATTACAGGTCTTTTTGTGCGTACCAATTAAATTTTAGTCAGCCTTTACAACTAATAGCTGCAATTCATAGCTGATAAAAAGGATATAACCTACTCAACCAATAACTTATACTAAGCTTTTTTTGGGGTGTTTAACCACTGCATCGATTATTTGAACTTTTGTGGTACCCCTGTTTACTGTTCGTATCATGCAAGCTGACCACCATTTAATGAGTGAACTGGTAATTGCCTGGACACGTCCCTTCCCAGTCAGGTATGATATGGTTTATGAAACCAACTACCTTTCCAGGATTGGCAGACCAAATTCCACTAGGTTATAAGATAACACTACGAAGAAATCTAGATCTACGCCTGTGTAATGCACCGCAACTGCAGAGCAAACACTTACACATTCAATTATGGCCACGATTTTCGCTTGGACAATGTCCCATCGCTACTGAAATATTTATCTCAGGGCCAAAGATTCCTGCACCTGTGTGTGTTCCAATTTTTGAACCATCTGTGAAAAATATGATTAAGCCTTGACGAACGCTTGGACCACCGATTTCCCAATCCGAACGCAACATTTCACATACGTTGAAGGGAGTGTCATAATTGTCCTCTGGTTCCATCCAGTCTCCATTCATACTCATCACTGGTCTTTCGTTTTTGGCCACCACACTAACGAAGCATACGTTACTTTTGGACGGATTATAGATGTGTAAATCCACATTGTCATTGTTGGTTTCAAACCCCATTTTCTACCAACAGTTTTGGAGCATAACCACAGGGCACTGGTTGCTTTGTTGATCACAGAATCAATCTGAGCATTCCAAATCAACTTGGCATCCAATAGGTATTTGACATGTTCACTAAGATGGATCTGTTCTCCTCCAAGCTTGAACTCCTTTAGGTTGAACTTCCTCTTTCTAGTAAAAGGAACGATTACTAATACACCAAGATTGGGTAAACTTTAGAGCTTGCTGCATTCTTTCTGAAATGATAGCATCAAACTTTCCTCTACAAAGCCCACAACTTCGAAACCTTTCGCCTCTAGGCTTCTTAGAAGATCATCTTCAACTAAATACCACATTAGTGGTGAGAAGACTCCTCCTTGAGGACAGCCTTTCGTTGCCTTTACTGTTATAGATGAGCTTCCCAGCCCAGAAGTGACTTTTCTTTTTGCAAGCATAGTATGAATCCAGTTGACGATGTGCGTGTCGAAGTTTCTTTTCTTCATGGCGTCAACCATAGAAGAATAGGATGCGTTGTCAAAAGCTCCTTCAATATCCAAGAAAGAACAAAGTGCGATTTCTTTAACTGAAAGTGATTTTTCGATTTTAGTTACCAATGTATGGAGAGCAGTAACTGTTGATTTTATAGATTGATACGCAAACTGAAAATTAGATATTGGATGCGTTAACATGTAAGTTGAATTGATGAAGTCATTCAACATCTTTTCCATAGTCTTCAGTAAAATTGATGAGAGACTAATGGACCTTAATGGTTTTGGCTGCGTTTTATCACGCCTTCCGTTTTTCGGTATGAATATAACTCTTACCAATCTCCATTTTGATGGAATGTAGTTTAATATTAAACTCGCCTTATATTTAAATCTTAGTTCGAGACGGAATCAGCATTGCTACACCGTTTTGAAGTAGTGCCGGGAATATGCCATCTTCACCCGCAGATTTAAAAGGCTGAAAAGATCTCACAGCATTCTCTACTCTGGCAATTGTGAAAATTTCATCAGCTATATCTGGTAGGGTGTTTTCTGTTCTCTGAGACACTGGTGAGGTCTCTATAGAACACATTTCACCAACAGAATCAGAAATATCTGATTCCACACACATTACTGAACCTGGAAAATGTGTTTCCATCATTAAATTTGAAGTTTCAGAGGGAGATTTGGTATACGGTATACTCTTTTTTTGGAAGAATTTATGTAGTCAACGTGGTTTGGATTTCAGATGTGTACTTTTGCTGTGATTTTCTAACTTTTAAATCTATCCACTGAATGGTCAAGAAATTGTTACATGCCTCTACTCAGCGATTGCATTGTAGAACAACATGAAGATATTTCTAGATCAGTTTTAGGTGTTAGTGTAGCAAAGTTGGCGCCGTCGAAGTTTTCCATTTCGTCACAAGTTTGAGTGCAGGTCCCGGTGCAAGTAATAATTTAATAATGTGTTCAATTAAATCTGGCGATGACAAACGTTCAGAATAATAAAAATTCGTTGAATTTCTAGTAATGTTGTTTTAATACACACAATATTTAACTCTACTTTGCGACAAAGCTTGTATAGTGATTATTTAGTAGTTGGGGGAAAGTTGAATAAGCGCCTATCATCTTCATACTCAACAGCAGCTGAATATCGGTTGAGCAGAAGTGTTTACGAATGTTTGCTAGATTTGCCAATGACATGAGGTTTTCGACATGGTTGAAGTGCATCCTCTTGGATGTAATATTAAAATTAATGTTTACTGTGTATCTATATCATTTTAATTTTTGTGAAACGTATACACAAATTAAATTTAAAATATGACCGGCTCTTTTTTAGGGAAAACAGAAAGACCACTTACGGCATTCTTAATCATGCAAAACAGATTCGGAAAGATCAAGTAATCAACTTATTTTTTATAAAGTTGATGAAATTTTTTCAATTATTTATTCTTCATCCTGATTGTAGAGTTGCTATGAGTAAATATTTAATCTAACGATACATGTGCAATTTACTCAATTGCCCTCACCATGCTTCGCCGTTGTTTGCGAAGACAATGTGTGCTGTTCTGGAAGGAAGCTAAACGTAGTATTAACATCAACGTTCACCAAACACGTCGTAATCAACAAACGGTGTCTGAAACTGGTAATGTAATCTCAAATTTGTGCTCACACATTAACTACAGTTCTATCAAGCAGGAAAGTCATCAAAACGATTTCAAATTTTCGCAGAAAGAAAACCCATAATCATCCATAGACAGCATGACAATTATGCTTCTGATTTTGATCGGCATAGCATTCCTGACGTTTTCCGAAGAAAAACACATTTCGTTTAATGTACCTGTAGCAACAAAAAAGGAAATCGCCAACAAACGTCCAACGTTTGAAGATTACAAAGGGCAACGAAACAGCTTCATTCTGTCGGAAGAACATCACTTCTTAGGAGCCAACCTGACCCTGACCGATGACGAACAGACCGTCAACAAGTATATCATGCGTTTGAAGCAGCAGGAGCTTGCCGAGGGCTTCAACGATAGCTACAATTTCATCCCGGCTAGGCACTACTTTGAAATGTTGGATCGTTTCGACAATTCCAAACTGTTCCGAATCATCCGGCGGCTTCCCAAAGGAGGAGTATTGCATGCTCATAGCACGGCCCTCGGTAGTGTTGAACTGATAGTGAATGCCACCTATCGCGAGAACCTCTGGCAGAATGGTGAGTTTGGAAAGATTCCCGGACCTAAGTTCAAATTTTCTAAAGAGAAACCCGGCGATGGTTGGTCGCTGGTATCTGAGATTCGAAAAAGGATGACGGACAAGGTTTACGATGCCAATGTCAATGAGTTATTTAGTCTATACAACGCAGATCCATTGAATGCCTACAAGAGTTTGGATAATGTATGGGAAAAATTCCAGAATCTTTTCGTCTGCTTAAAGCCTTTAATTACGTACGAACCGGTCTGGAGACAGTATTACCGAGATTCATTGCAACAGTTTTACGACGATCACGTACACTACCTGGAATTTAGAGGATCGCTTCCAGCGGTTTACGACTTGGAGGGAAAAATTTATTCCCGTGAAGAAATTGTTCAGATGTACTACGATGACACGGAATTATTCAAGCAGACTCATCCGAAATTTATTGGCGTCAAGCTCATCTACGCTCCAGCGCGCTTCATGAATGACGCAGGGTTGCAGAAGATTTTGCAAACTACTAGGCAACTGCATTCGAAATTCCCACGTTTCCTAGCTGGATTCGATCTGGTCGGACAGGAAGATCCGGGTAGGGCACTGTTTGAGTTTGCTCCAGCCCTGTTGGAACTTCCAAAATCGATCAATTTCTTTTTCCACGCCGGAGAAACCAACTGGTTCGGCATGAAGACCGATGAAAACTTGGTAATTTTGCGTCCTCCAACTCTTACAACCATCTTTCATGATCTGTATTGTACAATTTCAGATCGATGCTGTTCTGCTGGGGTCCAAACGAATTGGTCATGGATTTGCCGCTCTCAAACATCCCAACGTACTGAAGGAGATCAAGCACCGACAGATTTGCATTGAAATCAATCCAATCTCCAACCAGATTCTGAAGCTGGTCCAAGATCAACGGAACCACCCGGCGGCCCTGCTCTTCTCAGACAACTATCCGGTTGTGGTTTCTTCGGATGATCCATCCTTTTGGAGGGCTACTCCACTGAGCCATGATTTCTATGTGGCTTTCATCGGAATCGCTTCGGCTCGTCAGGATTTGCGACTGTTGAAGCAGCTGGCGCTGAATTCAATCGAGTACAGTGCCATGAATCGACAAGAGAAGATTGAAGCCCAGGACAAGTGGAATCGAGCGTGGCGTGAAGATATACATTTGCTGGCTTTGGATATTGCGGCTGGTGAACTGCAATGATTACGGCTAGAAGCATGTTGCAAGGAGTTATAATGATTCATCTTGATGTGAAGTTTTTTTTTTTATTTCAATAAAGAGCAGCTATATCGCTTTTAATAGTAATTTCTGAATCATCTTATTGATGAGATTGAACTATTTCATAAATTCGTATCCGGCAATAGCAATATCCGGATTCTATATCCCCAGTCAACTGCAACCCTGACCTTCATCAGTTACAGCTGAACAAGACAATAGCTTGTCCGTGCAACCGCCGGGCAGATTTGTTTACGTTTGGGATATTGTTTACAGTCTAGACCATACAATATATACAATGCAATGATGGGGATAAGGAATCGATCCGGTTTAGGTATATATAATTCATCTCGTCTATGGTAGCTTAGATCAGTGTGGTACCTACTGATAGCATCTAAAGTAAGAGATAAAGAGCATAAAGAGAGGATGATAACGTCCCATCAGTGTATCGAACTGGCTTGCCAGACCATCGACCGGCATATCCCGGCATCACCTCTCTCAGAATAGATCAGCTTCTCTGGATCTATTGCGCTGCTCTGGATAGAATAGGAAAGTTCATAGTTGCGACCTATCACAATCACGATCGCCAAACAGCTGATGATAGTAACGCTTTGTACATTCCTATCAATGTGCTCGTCGAAGCTCTCTCCATGACCATCCATCAAGTTGACAAAAGAAGTAAAAAGCAACTGGTGAATGTCGTCTTCTGTTGTGATCCATCACCGATCACAATCACGACACTCATCTGTGCTCGTTTTGAAGCAGTTGCTGCTTTGCTTGCTTATGTGAGTGTGTTGGTGAGAGAGCCCAACAGCTTCCGTTTCATGTTGTCTGCTTTGTTTGTAACTCCTGACGCCTGTCGAGACGAACTTGGAATGCGTAGGCATTGTTTCATTTTCTTCTGTCGTTTCGCTTTTTCTCATGATCGTACTGCAGAAGTCTTCACTGTTTTCGTTGTGCTTTTCATCATCAGCAGCGAGTTTAACGTTTTGCTTGTGAGCAGCGACCATTACTGGTGATTGTTGTTTGTCATGGCTCTAACTCTCACTGCGTGACAAAACGATCTGTCAGCGATAGTCCGTTGATGCGAAGACGAGTGTCACGTGAGTGTCATGATATTTTACATCACTGGGAAAGTTTTTAGTAGTGAACAGGTCATCGAAGAGACCACGGGTCTTTCTACTATCAAACCTTGTATTTAATATTTGTTGTGTAGTGTAGATCTTTAGATTGATCGGTTTAATAAATGTAGTTTTTTGACAAAGTGTTTCCATCAAACGTAGAGTTACCGAAACGAATTAGACCCTTCTGATACTACTTGCTGCATGAAGATCCCTGGCAATTAAGTCGAGACTGGTTGGATGATGGTGCTACTGTTCCTACCGCTGCGTTTCTCAGTGTTGGAGCTCTGATCGAATTTTACCCACTACAATATCGAAGGTGAGAAGGTTCAGGGCACAACAAACAAAGTGAAGAGGTGCGACGCGAACACTGGCGCGGTAACCATAGTACGGTGATAGAGGAAATGCTTCACCAAATCCGAGCGTCTGTTCACCACTCTAAACAAAGCTGTGCACGATGGTTCCCCGGCGAGACAGGAGTTTGGGGCTGGCCCAACAAGCCACCTTGAAAAAAAAAAAAATATGCAAATACCGAAGAAAGAAACACGGATCGAAACAATCAGCAAAGACCTACGCGACGAATTAAGGACTACGATTGGAAACTCGGAACATGAAACTGCAAATCGCTCGACTTCCCGGGCTGCGAAAGGTTAATCTACGACGAACTTTAACCACGCAACTTCGAAGTCGGAGCACTGCAGAAACTTTGCTGGACGGAACTAGAGGTATGGAAAAGCGGGCATCGAGCGGCTACTTTCTACCAGAGCTGTGGCACCACCAACGAGCTGGGAACCGGCTTTGTAGTGCTGGGTAAGATGCGCCAACGCGTGATTGTTAGGCAGCCGATCAACGCGAGGATGTGCAAGTTAAGCATTAAGATCCGTTTCTTCAACTACAGCATCATCAACGTGCACTGTCCACACAAAGGGAAACCCGATGACGAGAAAGAAGCGTATACGGTATACGACGGCTGTTTGCAACGGGACGCCAAAATCATCATCGGTGACATGAACGCTCAGGTAGGACGGGAGGCAATGTATAGACCGGCAAATAGCCTACATGCTGTATCGAATGACAACGGCCAACGATGCGTGAACTTTGTAGTCTCTCGGGGCATGCTATCCACAAAGCCACCTGGACATCACCTGACCAGCACACAGAAAACCAAATCGATCACGTTCTAATCGACGGGAAATTCTTCTCCGACATTATCAACGTCCGCACGTACCGCAGTGTGAACATAGATTCGGACCACAACTTAGTTGCAGTATGCATGCGCTCAACACCCGTCGAAGTCGAACGCCGCGACCCAACATTGAGCAATTACGGGAGTTGCCCAGGACTACGCGCAGCAGCCGGAAGTTGCACTACCCACGGAAGAGCAGCTTGGTGTAGCTACTCTTGAATATGGTTGGAAGGAAGGACATCCCTTCCGCCATAGGTAGTACTGCTGCAGCGGAACTAGGTACTGCGATCCCGGACCAAAGAAATGACTGGTTTGACGGCGAATGCAAACTGTTAGTAGAGGAGAAGAATGCAGCACGGGCGAGAATGCTGCAACACCGCACGAGAAGCATTAGCAGGAAGACCGAAATCGTGAACCGATGGACAATCTGTACCGCGTAAACGACGAACGGAAGTTTTACGAGAAGCTAAATAGTTCGTGAAAAACTTGGACGGTAACCTTCTCACGAACGAGTGTGAGGTGATTGAGAGGTGGAATCAGTACTATGACGAGCACCTCAACCGTGAAGCAGCAGAAAACGCATGTGGCACGGCAACAGACATTGGAGCACGCGCAGAGGACGACAGGCTACCGGCCCCTGATCTTAAAGAAGTTGAGGAAGAGATCGCTCGGCTGAAGAACAACAAAGCAACTGGTGTAGATCAACTACCAAGTGAACTATTAAAATAAGGCGGTGAAGCACTGGCTAGAGCGCTGCACTGGATAATTGCCAAGATTTGGGAGGATGAGATATTACCGGAGGAGTGGATGGAAGGTGTCGTATGCCCAATCTACGAAAAGCGCGATCAGTTCGATTGCTGCAACTACCGCGCGATCACACTGCTGAGCGCCACATACAAGGTACTTTCCCAAATTCTATGCCACCGCCTATCACCATTTGCGAGAGAGTTCGTGGGGTAATACCAGGCGGGATTCATGGGTGCCTGCGCTACCACGGACCATTTCGCGATTTGGCAGGTTCTTCAGAAATGCCACGAAAGCAAGGTGCCCACAAATCATTTGTTCATCGATTTCAAATCCGCATACGACACAATCGATCGAGATCAGCTATGGCAGATTATGCACGAGTACGGATTTCCGGATAAACTGACGCGATTGGTCAAGGCGACGATGGATAGAGTGATGTGCGTTCTTGGAATATCGGGAACACTCTCGAGTTCATTTGAATCTCGAAGGGGGTTACGGTAAGGTGATGGACTTTCGTGTCTGCTATTCAACATCGCGGTAGAAGGTGTGATCAGATGAGCTGGGATAGACACGAGCGGCACGATCTTCAGGAAGTCCATCCAGCTTCTTGACTTCGCCGATGACATCGTCATCATGGCACGGAACTTTGAGACGATAGCGGAAACGTACATCAGACTGAAGGCTGAAGCTAGGCGGATTGGACTTGCTATCAACGCATCGAAGACGAAACATATGAAAGGAAGAAGTTCTAGGGAAGACAATGTTAGCTTCCCACCTCGAGTTCAGTTTGACGGTGACGAAATCGAGGTGGTCGATGCGATCGTGTATTTGGGCTAACTGGTGACCGCCGAAAATGATACCAGCAGAGAAATTCAAAGATGCCTTATGGCAGGGAATTGTGCCTACTTTGGACGCTCAGATTGAACAAAATTCGCCGCCGCACCACTCAGTACCCAAATTTGAGGTTAAATTTGATTCAATTATAATAGACGACAATCTTCAGCTTTTTATCCGTCTGAAAAATGTCCGTACAAGGCAATGTCAAAGAATACGCCATGAAAGTTATCTGGCGGGATTTTCAAAAAACAAATTAAAAAGCGATTCTCTGCTCCGACCCAGTCCTGCCGTCTGCCGCCTACGATCTTCATAGTCGTTCCGGGTCCTGTGGTTGGATGTGGAGAAGAGGTCTTCCAACCCACTCACTATGGCAAGTATCCGCATGGTAATGTTGATGATTTCCAGGAATAACGTCCAACCTCGTGTTACCATATGTCATAAACAAGACGTCATCATTTATTACCAGAACATCGGTGGAATGAATTCTGGTGTTAACGACTACCACTTAGCTGTATCGGACCGTTGCTATGATGTCATCGTTCTAACCGAGACTTGGCTCGATTCTCGAACGCTCTCCAGCCAGGCGTTTGGACGCGAGTATGAAGTCTTTCGCTGCAACCGAAATCCTAAAAACAGTCGGAAATCTAATGGAGGTGGTGTTCTTGTGGCAGTCCGTTCCGGTTTGAAGACGAGAGCTTTAGAAAATGACGCGTGGGACTGTGTAGAGCAAGCATGGGTTGCCGTTGAACTGAGTGATCGCACACTGTACTTATGTGCGGTGTACATTGCTTACTTACAACGAACTTATCGAAACCCATTGTCGGTCCGTTTTGGCCGTAATGGAAACTGCAACTCCAGTTGATGGGATAATTGTGTGGTTTTCTCTATCCAGACCCTGTAGCGCACTCTTTATTTTATACAGGATCAGTTAGCCTTCTCGATAGCTATAGTGCAGCAACACTATCTCAAATCAATGACGTAGTTAACGAGAACAATCGAAGCTTAGACCTCTGTTTCGTTAGCGCTCAGGACACTGCTCCAGTTATCTCCACGGTACCTTCTCCACTAGTAAAGCAAGTTCCTCACCATCCTCTTTTGGTTGTCACTGTCCAAGATAGTCACGTTCGGGATTTTGAAGACATTTCCACAA